AGGCGAGCGCCCCGCTTTGAAAACGAGTTGTGCTCCATCCCTGAGGTCTTTTTCGAAACAGCAGATGGCGTAAACCTAAATGTTTGGAGGCCCGAGCAGCTTCATTGGATCGATGCTGGATCGTCCTTGGCGGCGCCTCTGGCGCCGCCCTTGTTGCGCTCCGCGCGCTAGGGAGGGGGGTCCGGTGCTGAGCCAAGAGATCCGAGGGGACATTCGAAGGTTTGCGCGTCCTCCTCTTTGAGGTGCGGTATTGGCTTCCGAGGATACTCGTGCAAATCGTGAGCGTTCTCGGGCGTGGGTTCGTTGCCCTGTCAGCACCTGTGCGCCCCTGGAGGGCGACAGCGGACTTCGACGTCCAGCTCAACAGGATAGCCATGGACTTTGGCAACTCTGCTGTGAGGGGCAAGTTCTCGCTCAAGAAAAAGGACAAGTCGAGAAAACAGCGGAAGCGGATAGAGTTCCTTGCGGACAAGTATGATTCATTTGGCTTGCGCCGCCGTCTGTCATGCGTGTGTGGGGAGGGGGGTCGATGGCCGAGGATGGCAGGGATGAGGGCACGAAGGTGAGATGAGAGAACATGACGGAGGGCGAGGGAGGGAAGGGAGAATGGGAGGGCGATGGCGTGGAGGAGGAGAGGGGAGTGTGAGGGAAGGAGTACCAGGCGAAGAACGGTATTTCGTTGTCAGGGGGCGCAGGGCGGCTGGAAAGCTTATACCCTTACGGTGACACGTCAAGGCATAAATTTGCCAGCCTCCCTGGGGCAGCGCCCACGGCGACGGAAAAGTTGATCTTATGCCGCTCTTCGCCCGCTGAAGGAGGGGGGGTCGAGAGACGGTGAAGGAGAGCGCTCTACGTCTGAGGTGCTCCTGGATTCAACGGCGATTCACTGTGTCCATGTCGTGGGGGCGATCTTATCTCAAGCGCTTCTCCAAAGCAGATTGAACCGGCGCCCCTGCCGTCATCTCGCACCTGAATAAGTAGCACCGCCTCTTTGTCTTCCTTACGAGGTGCATTTCCGAACGCTAATTGTGTTGGGCGTTCTGACTTGCGCCCGCCATGCGCAGATGCGGAGGAGGAGGAGCGGGGGTCCGGGATGACAAAGGGGAGGTCAAGGCAACAATTAAGAATAACGACTCACACGAGCGATCAATTCAGCAGTTCCGGAAAAAATAGCATTTCAGCACCACCGTGACGAACAGGCTTGAACGCTCAGGATACCAGCACTCGAGACGCGAGGAGGATGAGGAGGAGGGTCAAGATGTTGAGATTGAGGTGGAGGAGGGGGAGGAGGAAGAGGAGGAGCGGGGGCAAGAGGGGCAGGAGGATGTGGAGGTTGACGGGCGACCAGGCTGGCGGAAAGGAGTAGGAGGCAGAGGTCGCCGCATTGGCCGAGGGGGGCCTGTCGACGCAGGCCCCCTGGCGGATTTTACGGGCGACCTCACGCTGCCGAAGAAGGCCGCTCGGGAGGGCGATGAGGGGTGGTCATGGGCAGCGTTGGGGCGGGGATCCAGGCTCTCAGGACCCGGGGTACGATGGGGAACGAAGAACGTCGCTCTTCGTTCCCCTACGGTCTTGGTCACTATTCGACGACTCCTTGCAAACAGTTCCCAATAGGGGCCCGGGGCAGCCGCGCGCGCCTCGCGCCTCGCGCCGCCCGCGCGCGCGTGCGCCTCGCGCGTGAGCCACCGGGCGAAGGAGCCCCAAAAGAGAGACGCTGCGGGAGGCCCCCCCCTCCTTGGCCGGGGCACGTGCCCAGGGCCGTGCTCTGCGAGAGCCTCCCTTGGACGCCCGCCCCCTCGGGCGCCCGCGGTGCACCGCCGCCCGCTGCACGCCGGGCGGCGCAGTGCCGCAGCGCCGTCGGCTACTACAGCCTTCGGGCACGGCCAGGACCCCAGGCTGGCCGCTGCCCAGAGGGAGCTGCTGGGAGCCAGAGGGCGGCAAGTTCTCCGAGTTCGTTCTGCACATCGGCGCGGCATGGGACCCGCGCCGCGGTACTGTCGGGGCCAGCCAGGCAGTGTTCCCCGCGAGGCCCCAAGCGGCCTTCGGGTACAGCCAGGACCCCAGGTAAGGGGCGGCAAAGAGGGGGGGGGATGACTAGGGGGGGGGGGGATATCCTGGCGTGGGCCATGACATTTCCCCAGATCTCGCGGCGCCTCTTCTTATTTCATTACGTCCCTGGCCCCCCCCCCCCGCTGGGCCGCGCACATGCCGCCGGCAAGGAGGCACGGTTACGGTGGGGGCGCACATCAAGAAACCATGTATTTTTCGTCAGGTCATCCTGGGTTTCTTCGCTCCGCGCGCTGCGCGGCGACTTCCGCGGCCGTTGAAGGAGCTGCTGCGTTCAGAGTGCTCCAGGTTTCCCCTCAGGTGCACTTCGCGCGCGGGTTAGCAGGGCTGGGTGTCTTGCGAGGGTTTCTTGCGGCCGCGACCGCACTGTAGTGGTAGGGCCCCAGAGCCCCTAAATCGGCCAGAGTCACTAGACCAGGTCTGCCGTAACCTGCGCTTTTTTCGGGTGGCGGCAGTTGCGGTCAGTGGAACGGGGCGGGGGTGGCGCCCCCCAGCATACATCATTGAGCCAGGTCCCACTGAGCCCCGTTCGGCCAACGCCCGAGCAGCGCCAACATCGTGGTGCCCTCTGTTGCCCCCTCCCCGCGCTGCCTGCACCGCCGCCGGCTGGCCCCGCTGCCCGCTGCAGGAGCTCGCGCGGAGGAGGCCGCGCTGCCACCCTGCGTTCCGTCCTGCCGACGCGTGGGGACACTGCTGGTTGAGCCACCGCGCACCCCCGTCACTGCCGCGTTTGCCCGGGGTTCACTGCGCACGCAGTCGATGGTCATCGGACGGGGCTAGGACGAGGACGCATCCGTTCCAGGGCGGTCCGGAGCGCTCTCGGAGCGTTCCGGCACCGTCTCAGAAGGCCACGGGGCCCGAGACATCCTCCAGAGCCGCCAGATTCCAGCGATTCTCGAGTTATCCTCACCAGATGTTATCCTCGTCCCGGCTTCGGCTTAGGTTACTGATTTGCGAGATGCTTGGTCCTGCGATAATGAGGTCGCCAGGAAGTGAGCGAGTACGGGCACGCTGCCAACGCATGTCGCACTCTGCGCCAAAGACGTCGATCCCGCGTGAAAGCGGCTTGAGACTTCCGTCGAAGCAATACATGGCAGACGGTGCGCAATGTTTTGGTCGGAAGCATGTTGGTTGTGTTTGCCCAGCATCATTGACTCTTCGAGGTTCGCAACCTGCAGCCAAATCCCAGCTGCCCTTCCTTGGCCGACATCGAGGATGATCGTCCGCTGCTTGCCCGTGAAGCGAGAATGCGTTCAACGCGCGAATGGATTACATGTTCTCCCTGTCTGGGAGATGTTGATCACGTTCAGAAACCCGCATACCCGCCGATCGGTTCTTCCACTTCGCTGCCCCTTCTCTTGGAGCGTTTTTCCGTCAGGCGCCGACATCGAGGACAAACGCTTGGGATGCAGAAAGCACACGCCGTCGGAGATTTGAGGACCCGGAGCACGATGGGGAACGAAGTGTGCCGTTTTTCGTTCCCATCAGGGCTTGGTAACTATTCGACGACTCCCTGCAACCATTGCCCGATGGGGCCCGCGACTCGAAGGCGCTCCGCCGCGGACACGCGCTCGACTTGGTCGAGCGCGGGGCCGGCCTGGCCGAGATACTTCGCGCGGGCGGCTGGCGGAGCGCTGCCTTCTTAGATTATCGTCGCAGGCCCAGAGGTTGACACCAACACCAAGATCGGCGGTGTGCCTCCACCGTGGGATGAAGATCCCAATCTCGGTGATGGTGGTAATATTCTGGCTTCCGAGGTGACCGACATATTACCACCAACGCCGAAATCCAGGATCATCTTCCCCCTGTGGAGGCAACCCCCTGTTTTGGTGTTGGTGCCCATTTCCAGGCCTCCAATATCTGCCTGCAAGCATTTGACGACTCCCTGCGCAAACTCGCGAAGCGCGCCTCGCGCCGCCCGCGCGCGCGCGCCTCGCGCGTGAGTCACTGGGCGAGAGATCGCAGGCCTAGAGATTGACACCAACACCAATATCGGCGGTGTTGCATCCACCAGGGGAAGGAGATCCCGATCTCGGCGATGGTGGTAATATTCTGGCTTCCAAGGTGACCGAAATATTATCACCAACGCCGAAATCTGGGATCATCTTCCCCCTGTGGAGGCACCCCCCTGCGTTGGTGTTGGTGCCCATTCCCAGCCCTCCAAAGAGAGCCCCGAAAGAAAGACGCTGCGAGAGGCCGCGGAGCCGTCGGGGTCCCCCCTCCCTCGGGCCCCGCGCGTCCCCCTCCGCGCGGGGGGCCGCTGCGAGCCAGGCTCCCGCGGGGGCAGTTCTCGGTGGTCCAGAGGGTCAGGAGGGGAAAACCCACACAGACACAATTCATCGTCGATTCCCAGGAAAATATGGGAAAATATGGGAAGTGGGGGGGGGGAGATAGAAACCAAGAAATATAGGAATCTATGGGGAATATTCTGATTTGTTTGTATTTATTTGTGTGTCCCAGGGCTCCTTCAGAGGGGGGCGTCGGGGGTGGGCAGAATCCCCAGAGAGCCAACGCAACTGACAAAGTCAAGACGGAGGTGTTTCGCAAAGTTCGGCCCCCAGGGGCCTTCGCCGGGCCTCGGGGCCGTCGAGAAAACCGACTCGGGAGGAGAAACCGGTCCTGGGGAATGGGTCGAGGCGTCCGGGGACCCCGGAAATAATCACGACATCGGATCTGAGGGCTTCAGTGGTCCACATGGGGGCGTCGGGGGTGGGCAGGACCCCCACACTGACACGTCGATTAGTGAGTGGTCCGTTATCGGTTCTCGAGAGGGCGCCGCAGCCGTCGTTTTCCAGGCTTGCGCCCGCCAGGTTTGGGCCCGAGGTCGCTTTCACTAAACAACTTTTTATTGACGGGGGTTCTGTCCATCCCCGAGGGCGTCACTGTACGCGCTTTTGCGCAAGCGCTCTCAGGAATCCGGCCAGGGGGCCAACCTTGACGGAACGCTGGGGTCCAGCGAGTTTGATGACGCAGGGGTTCATTCCGATGGCCTCGATGTCGCTCCGGCTATCCATGAACGGCGGCTCCACGAGGACATAGGACACGTTGCCCTTCCTGGCGCTTACGCTCATAACTGGTCTGAGCAGCCTAGCCAGCGACATCTGTGAGACATCGCGCGTCTGGATGACCAGGCGCTGGCCGAAGTTTGCGCCCCCGGTCTGCCCGTGGACGTTCTCCCCAGCCTCGCGTTCTCCTGGCATGGCCGTGCGCGCAGTTTGGCGGCTGACACCGCAAGCCTCCTTCTAGCCCCCCCAAATGGGGAGGGTCCGGGTGCTTCTACCCCAGCGCCAGCGCCGTCGCCTTGTCGCGAAGTCGCAGCCACGCGCAGAGGGGGGTGGGGGGAGAGGGGAGGGCTTCTTAGAAACACCCCTGCTTCTTAGAAGGCGCGGGCTTTATCTATAGATGTGAGGCCGGCGCCTTCTAAGAAGCAGCCTCCTTCTAAGAAACCCTCCCCCCTCCCCCCACCCCCTTGTGCGCGCCGCCAGAAGTCGCAGGCCCAGGTTGATCCTGGACGTCTGAGCTCGCTTCGTTGTGCGCATCGCCCGCGCTTTTTCCACTGCGCGGAGGAGGTGCTCGGGGCGTGCGCGCTGCCCGTCTCGGCCATCAAACATTGTTCAAAACTTGTATGGGGACGGCTTCGTTCTTTAACTGACTTTTTTTTTTTTGTGGCTTTAACGTTTTGGGACTTTATCAACACTCGTCGCCCAAAATCCCCCTGTAGGGGGACATGCCCGACCTAACAGTAACCCCGCCGACCCGCCGGCGCCCTCTGCCAGCCTCTGCTGGGCGGTCACCCGGCGGGCTCCTGGCTGCCCACGCCAGGGCCCTCCGTCGCCCGTAGACGCTGCGGCCCCCACCACCACCCAAGGGCGCAACCAGATGTTTGCAGAGGTCCGCATGCACGTCGGCGCTGTGCCCCCCCTGGGGGCGCGGCGCCTCTGGCGCTGCCCCAGGCGCGCTCTGCGCGCCAGAGAGGGAAGTCCAGCGCCGATCCAAGAGATCCGCGCGGACCTGCGGAAGTTGATGTTTACGCAGCTTTTTGGCTTAGTTTTTTTATGATGAGTATGTTGAGTAGTCTTATGAGTATTCTTAGTACTTACTATTATCATTTCTTTTCAGGGAGCGCGGGTGGCCGTCCGACGCGTATTGGAAAGTCTCGCGCCCACCCCTCTTTCTGTTTTCCCCCCTCTTCTTCCCCGCCCTCCTCCTCCTCCTCCCTACGTGCTCCTCTCGTCCTCCACGTCGTCGTCGGTTTCCACCTCTTCCGCCTCTTCCTCTTCCCCCGCGAGACGGTCGTCCGAGGAGCAAGGGTGATGAAGATGAGGATGACGATAAGGATGACGACGATGATGACGATGATGATGATCGTGATGACGATGCTGATGATAATAATGGTGATGGTGATGGTGATAATGATGATAATAATGATACTTATGCTAATGATGATGATGCTGATACTTCTACTGATGGTGATGGTACTGGTGCAGGTGATGGTGCTGGTGCTGGTGATAGTGACGGCGATGATGAATGGCGACGGTGGTGATGATGATTACGATGACGACGACGACAGTGTTGCTGCTGCTGCTGCTGATGATGATGATGATGATGGTGATGCTGATGATGATGGTGATGATGATGACGATCCTGACCATGGTGATGTCTATGATGATGATGGTGATGATGATGATGACGACGATGATGATGATGATGATGAGGATGATGAGGATGATGATGAGGATGGCGATGATGATGAGGATGATGATGATATCGATGATGAGGATGATGATGACCATGGTGATGATGATGATGACGATGATGATGGTGATGCTGATGCTGATGTTGATGGTGATGATGAGGAGGAGGATGATTCGTATTCTGTGTATTACTATTTTTCTGATGGTGCTGCTAAGTACGATGATGTTGCTGATGACGCTGATGATGATAATGATGATGAATATGATTATGATGATGACGATTATGCTTCTGCTGATGATGATGATGATGATGATGAGGAGGAGGAGGAGGAGGATTGTGCTGCGTTCCAATATTTCGGATGTCTACCAGATTTCCCAACAAGCCCCGCACGCGCTGCAGACACTAGGTCCGCTACAAACTTTGGAATTATTCGACATCCGACGTTGCGAACAAAACACAGCATCGTGACAGATCAAGACCGCTGCCTTGGACCCCATGCTTCTGCCGCATTCTTCGGGCCAGATCGATATGTGATGTTCCTGGGCCCCCAAACCGGGCGAAGACGGCGCGTGCAAACAAACATACAACGCTTGGATCTCATTGTCCTCGATCAGGGCGCCGGAGACGGGATCACAGCAAACGGGGGCACTTCGCATGGGCGGACAACCTGCGGCTGGTGACGAGCCCCCGCAGGCGAAACTAGTCTCAGCGCAGTATCGGCTGTTTGCACGTGGTGATTGCCACGTCAAACCAAGGTTGACTGGAGCCCTGCTTGAAGTCTTCGCTGGGCGCCGCCGAGGAAGAGCGCGGGCGCGGCCGGCGCGCGAGGGCCTGTCGGAGGCCGGCCCGGTGCTGAGAGTCGGGGGCGTGTGCTGCGACTGCGAGCCGGCCTCGTCGAGGCCCCAGGGGGGGGGGGGGCGGGATCGTGGCCATAGAGGAGGAGGAGGAGGAGGAGAGGGGAGGAAGGAGGAGGAGGAGGAGGAGGAGGGGGAGGGAGGAAGAGGAGGAGGAGGAGGAGGAGGAGGAGGATGGGAGGAGGAGGAGGAGGAGAGAGGAGGAGGAGGAGGAGGAGGAGGAGGAGGGAGGAGGTAGGAGGAGGAGGAGGAGGAGGAGAGGAGGAGGAGGAGGAGAGGAGGAGGAGAGGAGGAGGAGGAGGAGGCGGAGGGGAGGAGGAGGAGGAGGAGGAGGGAGAGGAGGAGGAGGAGGAGGAGGAGGAGGAGGGAGGAGGAGGAGGAGGAGGAGGAGGAGGAGGAGGAGGGAGGAGGAGGAGGAGGAGGGGAGGAGGAGTGAGGAGGAGGAGGAGGGAGGAGGAAGAGGAGGGAGGAGGAGGAGGAGGAGGAGGAGGAGGAGGAGGTGGAGGAGGAGGAGTGGCAGCATCCGACAGGATTCAAGCGCCATCACTGGCAGAGGCAGGAGGACGCTAATGCGGAGGATGGTAATGATGGCCAGGGGAGGAGGAGGAGGCGGAGGAGGAGGAGGAGGCGGAGGCGGAGGAGGAGGAGGCGGAGGAGGAGGAGGCGTAGGAGGAGGAGGCGTAGGAGGAGGCGGAGGAGGAGGATGCGGAGGAGGAGGAGAAGGCGGAGGAGGAGGCGGAGGCGGAGGCGGCGGAGGAGGAGGCGGAGGCGGCGGAGGAGGAGGAGGAGGACTGCGTAGCCATTTGGGTGCAGTGCGCTGCCTCTCGACGCGGGGGGGTCGGGCCGCCTCTCTGGCCCCGTCTCCGCAGAGGGTGGTGCCCAGGCGCGGCGCCTTCCCCTGGCCACGTCGCACGCCAGGGGGGAGAGCCTTCGGCCAGCAACGTGACCAGCCTCCTGGCCTCTTCCATCTACACTTAAGTTGGGCGTGTCCCCCCTCAGGAGGCATATCCAAAGATAGTAAAACAAAATAGTCAGGGCACGAATTTCGGACTGTTGTTGGCCATGTCGGTGCACTGTTGAACTTGTTTATGTTTTCGTCCAAATCTGCCTGTAGAGGGACTCGGGGCTGGACAGAACCCCCAACAGTGACACGTCGATTAGTGAATTGTCCGTTTTCGGTTCTCGAGAGGGCGCCGTGGCCGTCATTTTCCAGGCTTGCGCCCGCCAGGTTTGGGCCTCAGGTCGTTTTCACTAAACCACGTTTTGCTGAAGGGGGGTCTGTCCACCCCCGAGGTACATGCCCGACATAGTCTACAACCACAACCCAGAGATCCAACGTGTATCGAGAAAAGCAGGGCGGAGATTTTCGCAGGATTCGGCCTCTGGAGGCCCTCGCCGGGCCGTGGGTGCATCACACAACGGCTCGGGATGAAACACCGGTCCTGGGGAGTGGTCGAGACTTCCGGGGACCGCGTCTTGAATCGGGGGGGGGAAAAGAGGGGGGTGATGACTAGGGGGGGGTGGATATCATGGCGGGGGCCATGATATTTCCGCAGATTTCACGGCGCCTCTTCTTATTTCATTGCGTCCCTGGCCCTCCCGCTGGGCCGCGCACATGCCGCCGGTCATGATTTGCACCCCCCCTCTTGGACACCCCCCTCTTGGTCGCTCCCGAGTCTTGAAGAAATTACGACATCGGATCTCTGTGAACCACTTTTCAGGCGATCGCAAACATGGATCCAGGGGGCGTGGATTCGCGGCGGGTCCTGTTTCCATGGGAGATCGCGGGTCTCCGCCGCCGAGGGAGGCGGCGCGAGCTCGTCTTGTCGGGAGGGCATTCCCCCCGATCCGTGAATTTGGCGGCCGCGCCCCAAATCCATAGATCGCTAGTCCATGTTTGCGCGCCCCCGATTCCCCATCTACACCCACAACCACCGGCACCACAGCCAATCTCCCGCCCTGCGTGACGGCACCGAGTGCAGCAAGCACGGTTCGAAGAGCGAGGGCGAGCAGGAGGAGGGGCCCATTCTCAAAAAGGGACGCCGCAGAGCTCGCCTCCGGGGCCCTGAATCACAGCTTCGCCACCACTGCCGGGTTGCCCGACTACTGGGCCACCGACGCCAGCGCCAACCGCGGCGCCACGACTTTCAACTGCCGCCGCTCATCTTGGCGTGCGGCTACTCCGCTCACTACGACGCTATCCCCCACGATTCCTTGCCCCACGACCCCCTGCCCGACGACCCCATACGGAAGCCCCCGCGCCCCCCTTGCCCCACGACCCGCAGCGCCCTGAGTGGCTTTACGTTGCGAGAGGGAGCTTTTGTGGGGGGCGGCATACCCCGAGGGACGGCCAAATGGGGACCGTCGCCGACCAGTCCCAGGCTGGCGCCGTCTGCTGGCCCTTTTGGCGGGCTTCCGGTCCCGAGCGACCGCATGCCCCTGGAGGGGGCCCGCAGAGGACCTGCCCGGGGAAGCGGTCCCCCCACCCAGCCCGCCGCGACGGCCCCCCCCCCCCGCGGCGGCCTTGCGCCACGGCCCCCGCAGGACGGCCCCGCAAGACGGCCTCGGCCAGACCCTGCGGCGGCCCCCCGCGGCGGCCCCGCCCGCGAGGCAGCCCAATCCCGCCACGACGACGTCGACTGCG